GCGCACCGGAGCCGCGGAGCCTCGCAGCCCGGCCCGCCACCCCCGGAGGGCAGGCAGCCTCGGGCGCGCCGGGCGGGTGGAATGAAGGCCAATTAGCACTCAATTACAGGGCACCCGGTCAACTGGGGGCCGCCTCTCGCCTCAGCCGGCCCTAAAGAGGCCCCCTCTTCCAGCCACAGGTTGGACCCCTCCTCCCGGGCCCCTGGGGGGCGGGGCAGGCGGGAGCAGGGGCTGGAGTGGGGGCCAGTCCGTGCGGGAGCTGAGGCGGGGATGTTGGGGGGGGGGGCGGTCAGGATCAACCCACTGGCAGTGCGAGGCTCATCCCTCGCCAGCCCTCTTACTGCTCCTGGGTGCACAGGGCGGGTCATCAGACCTCCTTCTACGCCCCTCTGGGGCCCTCCTGGCAAAAGTGTTGTCCAGTGGCCGCCCTTGACCCAGTGTCCCCCACGCCAAGCTCTTTCCTGCCAGGTTTAGGGGTCTTCTCCTCAGAAGACCTTACCTGGCCAGCGCAGTATCCCATCACTGCTGTGTGTTGTCCGAGCAGAGCAATCCAGCCTGAAGAGCCACATTAAATTGGGATCCTCGAATTCTTCTAACACCCCGTATTGGAGATGTGCATCTGGGGCTGAGTATGGGAAGCCTCGCCGGGGACAGGGCCTCTTTCCCGCCTTCCCATCCCCAAACACCTACTGCTGCCAGACGTGGCCCTGGCTCCATTTTAGATCCTTCTGCAGGCACAGAAATATGGGGTTCCCCTAGGGTTCTTTCCTGAACAGCCCGCACTCTGGCAGCATCCCCCAGAGACTGCCCTGGAGGACAGAGGCCACATCTGCCTTATCAAGCGAGCAAGTGAAACTTGGAGGTAAGGAGTCTGGGTTCACACAGGTGGACACCTTCCAGTCAGGTAACTTGAAGTGAAAATACTGTCCCCTTAGGTGGGATGAGGGCAGCTCCTGCTAGCCAGGTATCCTTAAGGATAGCAGCACCCCTCCTGTGCCAGGCAGGCCAGCTTGCTTCTCTGGGCAGGCCAGGGGCTGAGCTGTCTCTGCTGCCCTCTGCCTCCCAGGAAAACTCTTCCAGAGGGTGGGAGAGTGAACGCTCTCCTTGGAGCCTTAACCTCTCAGTTGCTGGTGTCTTCCCTTCTGCATTTGCTCATCCCCACAGCTCTCCCACTTCAAAATGTGTCACTACCTCTCTCCTGCCCTAGGTGACCAGGTTTCTGATGAGGTGTCCATGAGTCAAGTCATCCACTAGAGGTGCCCCACCCAGTCTGCAAGACGAGACCTGCTCTGGTCTCTCTGCTCTGGCACCCACAGCAAACTCAGTAGTCTGGGGGGAATTTTGGTGTAGGATCCGAAGAGGCAGCCACTGGGACTCTAAGTCAACTGGCCTGCTCTTGCAGGAGATGGAGTGGTGTGTTTCCTTGTTTGCCTCATCTAACATCTGGGGAAAGAACTTTCGTGGCTTGACTCAGGTCAGCTGCCAATGTGCACCCCTGGAGTTGAGGATACCCACAAGGGAAGAGGCATCCTGCGGTGGCCAGCTATGTCTTATGATGTGGGAGGAGAGAAGGATTTGGTCAACAGCTAGCAAGCTCAGCTCACAACATTGTGGAGAAAATCTCAGATGGGGGCTGGATGGTAGCTCAAGACCGGGGCTCTCTCTTCAAACACCTTAGCTCAACTGCACCTGTGACTGCCTCATGCTGTGCACAGATTGCCCCTCCCTGGAAACTGCCGTCTCTGCAGAGACTCCTTTTCCAGTAGTTCTGGTTGGGTTATGTGTACATCTTTGGTCAAGCAACATGGGGGCTTCAGTACTCAAGTCATGGGGGTCTGCATTCTGAGTCCCTGCCCCTGGGGTCAGGGATGGAGCCAGGGCCTTGGGGTGAAATCAAGAAGCTGTCACTAGAAGGAGAGGCAGAACTAGATTTCAGGCTGAAGCAAGAGGTGCATCATAACTAGAATATATTGTTATTTGCTTATGTATTCATATGATCATAATATACAGTGACTTGTAACACCTTGCTTTTTTAGATCCAAATATAGTTCAAACATCTTTCATGTAGAACAAAAATCTACCAAATTAAGAAAAAATGCCCCCTTGCCTCCAATTGCAAGGATACACCTGATTTTTCCAGCCCAGCCCCTACTGATGAATCGCTAAGCTGTTTCTTGTATTTTGCTCCTGCAAACATGCTCATAGAGAAAATGGGACTGAGTCTTTGCTGCTCTGTGGGCTTCACCATTCTTGGCTCACAGCTCCCCAAGCCCTTGGCATTCCCTAAGACTGAGGGTGGAAAGGAGTCTTTTCTTTTATGAATGAGGTGACTTTTAAAAGCAGTTAAGAATTGGGGATGGGTGCCTGGAGAATCAACCGTATTTATAGGGTTGGGGAAGAGGGAGAAAGGAGGGACTGGAGATTGAGTCCAGTTGCCAATGGTCAATGCTTTAATCACTACTGTCTATATAAGGGAGCTGCCGTAAAACCCAAAGAGGATCTGGAGACCTTCTGTAAGAATAGTCTGAGAGGGCCTGAACCTCCCAGTTTTTTCCTCATCCCTTGCTCTATGCATCTATTCCAACTGGTTATTCCTGAATAAAAACCTTTGTAATAAATTGGTGGTCTAGTGAGTAGCTGGATTTTATGAGTCCTGTGAATGGCTCTAGCAAATAATCTTTTTTAGTTTTTATTATTTTTTAAAGATTTGTTTATTTATGCATACAAGTACTGGGGTGCAGGCCAGATGTGTAGGGATGGAGTGGGGGGGTAGTGAGAGGCTTCACCAGAGACAGTGGGGAGCAGAACAGGCAGACTGAGGAAGTGCACTGCTGAGGGGAGCAGCAGGTGAGACAGGAGAGGTCTGCCGTGCCATGTGGGTCACCTCAGGGGTTAGGGATTGAACTCATGCCGCAGTGGCTGTGGACAGCTTCATAGTGCTGAGACTTAACCTCTTGCACCACCAGGGAGGGCCTCTAGCAAATAATCTTTTTTAAAAAAGATTTATTTATTTATGCACACAAAACTGGGGTACAGGCCAGAAGTGCAGGGGCGGTGAGAGGACTCACCAGTGACAGAGTGGGGAGCAGAACAGGCAGACTGACAAAGTACATAGCTGAGGGGAGCAGCGGGCAGGTCAGGAGAGGTCTTCTAGCAAATAATCTTAACCTAAAATGGGCATCTCTGATTTACAGCCAGTGAAATGAGGCAGGTGGGCTTCAGTGGTATCTGATGGAGCTGGGGCGGCTTTGAGAGATGAGCCCGTAATCTGCAGCACCTGATGCTCCTCTGGGTCAATGGGTCAGAACTGAGCTGGACCTCAGGCACCCCCAGGGACCCAAGAACTTCATATTAGTGTGACGGCGGCGCCCTCCCCCTCACAATTCCTCTTTCCCTGAAACTGGGCTTGGGACACTGAAATTTCACCTCCATTTCTATTTCTAGTTTCCTCCTTTCCTTAATTCTGTAAAAGATAGCACATTATAAACACTTCTGGGCCTTGCTTTTTTTCTTTTTACTTAACACTAAATTCTGGCAGTCATTCCATAGCAGGGAGTGAATATCTTTTTTTTTTTTTCCTTCTTAAACAGTGGCATAATAAATAGTCTGCCATGTGGATAAAACATCTGTTGAGAGGCTGGTGGGAAGTTTTTTATCTTTTGCTTTTACACATAAAGCTGCGATTAAAAAAAAAACTAGGATATATATTACTTTGTATTTATGTCATTGGCTCTTTAGGGTACAGTTCTGGAAGTCAGATGTTAGGTTAAAGGGCAAATGCATATGCAATTTTGCTAAATATTGCACAATTTCTTTCCCAAGAGGTTATTCTAGTTTGTGTTCCTGCCAGTTTCTTGAAGCAAGTGAATCTACTTTTCATTTCTAGAAGTTCTATCTGGCTCTTTTTAAAATCTGCTAGGCCATTCATCATTTTTCCCCCAAGAGATGGTTTCACCCGTCTTTTGTGCCTTTAAATAAAGGGGCATAAGGTCCAGCCTAACAGTTCTGACACCAGGAGACTGAAGCTGTGCTGTGGGTGGTTCCATCTGTTGCCTTTATTTTTCACTGTCAACTGGTTATTGTCCTTGAGTAATCAGTTGTGGTCTCTTTGAGGGCTACAAAGATTTCCTCCAGAGGGTGTGCATTGCTCTTGCCAGGCACCTGTGAGAATGAGCTACAAGGCTAGGGACTTCTATGAACTGAGGTCACATAGGGGGTGCCCTGGGGTGACTGTTATTGTCCACTGGAGTGAGGACCAACCCAGTCTCTCACTTCTCAGAAACAGGACCCCACCCCACCCCAGGGTGTGCTGAGTGCCAGAACTACCCACCATGCAGTTTTCTGTGCTCAGGGGCAAAGCCGAGTGAGAGGTCAGCTCCTCAATCCCTTGAGGCCCTCAGAGAAAATAGCCCTTTAGCGAACCCTACCTGCCTCTCCCTTGTTGGGTTGTCTCAAAAGTCTGCACTATTCCCCAGAAACACAAGTTCTAAATGCATTTAAAAACAAACACCAAAAACCTTTAACTAACATGGAATACATTATGTTTGGGATGATAGTATACATGCCAAAAGCACGTTCCGCTTACTCATGTCAAGCACTAATTCAAACCTTCGTGTCTGTTTGACTGTAACTCAGAATGGCTTAAAAAACTTAAGAGGAAAATCCAAACTTTAAAACTAGATAGAACAACTCTCTTTTCTATTATCCTATTTCTAACACTTTCCTCGGAGTTTTCCACCATTTTCAGTTTGATGTATATCATTTTTAAAAAAGATTGATTTATGCATGCAAGTACTGGGGTACAGGTCAGAGGTAGTGGGCAGGATGAGAAGATTCCCCAGAGACAGAGCAGGGAGCAGAACAGGCAGATTGATTGAAATACACTGCTGAGGGGAACAGTGGGGAGACAGGAGAGGTCTGCTGTACCCTACGGGTTAGCTCCCTGACCAGGGATCGAACTCATGCTGCAGTGGTACCTTTTTCATCACCAGGGAGGCCTCAAATTCCATGCTTTCAGTGAATGAGCTGGGTATGGGAATTCTCTCTCAATAAAATTGTCACTTCATACTGCCATGAACACCCTTTGAGGTTTTGGAATGACTGGGTTACAGGGTCACTTTACCTCATGATTTTCTGGAGTGTGATTATCTCCCCACACCCTTAGCAGCTACGTTTGATTTTGCCAACTTGATGAGTGGTGAAAAAAATGGCATCTCACTTGAATTTACATTTCTCTGGCTACCAGTTTTAGAATCTTTCCATATTTATTGGCCATTTATGTTTTCTGAATTTTTTCTTTTCTGATTTTTTAAATTGGAATGTCTCAATTGATCTGTAGTTTTTAATAGTCTATATACTTTGTTTCCTACATTACCATTTTCTCTTATCAATTTTTAACATATGGAAGATGCTTAAAAGTGCCTGATACATAGCTACTGGCTGGGAAACAGTATTAACAGGGAGAAAGGCAAGGCTAGAGGAGGTGTGAGCTGTCCACCTGCAGCTACATTTAATAGGTTACTTAATTGTTCACACACTACTAGGAATACCAGCCTGTAGCTCTAGCGTTTTTTTTCCCCCTACAATTTCCTTCTCCTTTTGGAGAAACCCACCTTTGCCAGTGAACTCAGACATATCTAGCCCCTGGATGTGTTTGGTGGGGGCTGCCTTAGGGCAGCGAGGAGCCTCCCCTTGCTGGACAGGGGTGGGTACTTCCTTTCCCACCTTTTGGGAGCACGCGGGTCAGCCCACCACCAAGGAGCAGACAAGTGCCTGTCTGGAGTTTCACGGGGGCGTCCCACCAAGATACAAAGCAGGCAGTTTACTTCAGGTCTGGCTCCAACACTAGCAAACTTGTAATTGACTAGAAAGAACTAGAAATTTCCTTTCCAGTTCATGCAACTGTAGAAAGATTCCCACAGCCTTCACGTTATAGGCGGGTCGCTCTCCATGGACTGTGGCTGCAGGGTCCTGGCTGGGCACTCAGGACTCTGGGCTTGTGTGAGGAAGCACAGGTGGAGGGGCCTTCGCGACCAGGTGGCCCTTACGGCAAACAGTGCTGGGGCCTCATCTCAGGGCCGGCCTTCAACTCCAGTCTAAAATCTCTCTGCATTAAATTCTGGAACCCTCTCTCACTCCTGGCGTTCAGCCCAGTGGAGTGAGGCAACGAGCTTACTGGGTACTCTTCTACTTCCCCAAACTCCTGACAATTCAGGGCACACAGCTTCCACTCACATGCTAAAATGCTAGCTCCGGAGGGGAGAAGGACCTGTACAGGGGGCCCAGCAGACCCGGCCGCAGGCTCCATGGCAGACGCCCGCTGCACCCAGTCTTCTGGCAGGGACCCGTGGCTCACATTTAGCAGGTCACAATGCCACAAAGCTTGTTTAGGAAATATTTATTTGAACATATGAAAAGGAAATTTAGAGACCCCAATGAAACAGAAGTTCCGTTCCCTGGTGGGGGCAGCCCCCAGCTCCCTTGCACAGAGCCAAGTGCCTCGCGGCCGTGCGGCGCCCGTTTCTGCTGGGAGCTCGCGGACCTGCCGCCGCAGCCTGTGCGTGCGGCACCTTCCCAAGGAGAGAAGCCAGACGCTGGATCTGCAAAGGCTGTTTCGCACGTCCGCTCCCATACAGCACAGGCCCAGACGTGTTGTCTGAAAGGAGGCGCTCGGCACTGGTGTCTTCTGAAGACGCCCTCGTTGCTCTGCAGGAGGTTGGGCATTCTCCCTTCTTCAGTCTGATCTGGACTTTCACAGACGGGACCCGGCAGGAGGCACCTGGATATCCCCTCCAGGATAGTTCTGCAGGTGAAGAGGGGACACCTGGCCACTCCCAAGGGTCCTCTTCTATGGGGTCGGTCACCCTTTCTCTGGACGGTTCCTCCATACCAGGCACAGAAGGCACACTGCCACACGGCAGCACGGGCCCAGCCTAGCGGATGGGCCTGAATGGAAACGTCATGCCTGAGATGAAGGTGTGCCCGGGGTGCGTGGGCAGGGCAGGGTGAGCAGCAGGGTGTGCTGGCACAGCCCCGTAGCCCAGCGGGGGCGTGTGGATGTGAGGGTAGAACCCAGGAGGGAGCGCGGCGTGTGGCGACTGCTGTACTGGGCCCGAGATCACCAGCTGGAGCAGGCTGCAAATACGAGGAGACGGGTTAGGATGCTGACACGGGACAAGGCTCACCGACAGGCAGTGGGGTGGGCTTGTCTCCTCTGGGCAGCCACGGGGGAGAAGAGAAAGGGGGGGTCTCACACCTGTGCGGGGAAAGACACCAGCTGGAGGTGCACAACATGCAGGTCCCACAGGGAGGACACAGGCTGTGGCTGGGCCCCGCAGGTGAACCCGAGGTAGAAGGATTCAGACTGGGCCCTGGGCAAAGGAGGCAGCAGGGGCCACCAGAGGGAAAAGCCAGGACCCCAGGTGACAGCGTGGACAATGCAGGCCTTTCCCCAGTCTCAGTGGCAGGGGGAGCACGCTGCGTGGCTTGTGCTCCAGTTTCACATGAGGCTGCGGCTGAGGTGGCACGGTGACAGGCCCGCAGGCCAGCTCGCTACGTGTCTGGCTGAGTCTCCGTGAATTCTAAGCAAAGCCACACAAAAGCCGGCCTTTCAGATATGCTGACCCAGAGTCAGGACAGGCTGTACCCTCAGAGACGGCCCAGGCCTAGATCCAGTCCTCACCACTGCTGGGCCCGCTCCCCTCCCCCTAGCCCTCCCTCTTTTTACCCCAAGCAGCTTCAGACCACCCCCTCACTGATTCCTTCACACCACTCCCTGCAAACAACCTTCTGAAACAAGTTGGTTTAGGAGAAGTTATTAGAGATACAAAATTTAGCTCATGTTTGTTTGAATCTATATGGCCTGCCAGAGATAGAAGGGTTTTCAAGAAGTTCTGGTCTAGTGGGAAAGACACCAATGAGACAATCAGAATTCAGAGAAGTATTTCCAGCAACCATGTGTCCTCTCTCTACCCACATCAGTTAGAGGTTGCCGATTTGCCTCAGGAGAGGCAACCAGTCTCCTAGAGGGCAGGGTCAGGCCTGGAGGGAGAAGTCAGCACATCAAGGCAGGCCTTGATGTTCCAGCAGGGGTTAAGTCTCAGCACTGCGAAGCTCTCTGCAGCCACTGCAGCAATGGGTTGGATCCCCGGCCAGGGACCTGACCCACATGGCGCGGCAGACCTCTCCTGACCCGCCCGCTGCTCCCCTCAGCAGTGTAGTTCAGTGATCTGCCTGTTCTGCTCTCTGCTCTGTCTCTGGTGAAGCCTCTCAACTCCCACCCCCGTATCTCTGGCCTACATCCCAGCTCTCATATGCATAACAAAATGAATCTTAAAAAAAAAAAAAAAGGTATTCCAGAGAGATATTATTGGGATAATGGATTTACAACCTGTCATCATCTAAACACCCTGATAACATTAAACATTAAATAAAAACTGCAGAAAGAAGGGATTATTGCCAGGAATACAATGTCCTGAGATGCCAAGAATTTTTGAACCCAGAAAACAAGGAGGGTGTGGGCTCCTGCAGAAAGGCGGCTTACACAAGCTGCCCCCTGTGCCGCCGGAGCCACGCACTTCACCATCTCAGTCCTCAAGTCTACGGCAGGCCCGCCGCAGCCCACCTCCGATGCCAAGCGCACACTGGTCTTCTGGCTGGAGCTACTCTAAGCTCAGCCCAGGAATCAGCATCTAGCTGAGGCTTTGGCCTCACATCAGGCACGTTTCTGTACCAGCCGGTAGCATCTGCCAAGCCTCACTGGCCCAGGAGAGAGATGCTGGCCCCGGCATCGGGAGCGCACACAGCACAGGGGCGGGCTGGCTCGCCCACACGCCAAACACCTGCCGACAGCAGCACGGAGCTGTGGTCACTGTTAACGACGAGGCCTTGAGGACACGCGTCGTCCTGCCAGCTTAACTGTGAGCTGCCTGGGCGCAGCTGCCGCATAGGCGCGTCTGGCCTCCACCGGAAACACGTCCCCACGAAGCAGCCACTTACTGCTGGCAGCGGGGACCCGTTGCAGCCTTCTGATGCATCCCGTACTGGGCACAGAAACCCCATGCTTCTGGGGTTTTGCTACCAGTATCACCGCATTTGCAGGCGACATTTCTGGGCACATAATCTTTTGCTCCTAGATTCAGTGAATCAGATTAAGTGAAATTCCTGTTCGTAGATTCTAAGTAGCATCAGTCAACGCTTACTAGATACTTACTACACCCAAGTACTGCTGTAAATGCGTTCTGTGTTTTCACTTATTTAATTCCCACAAACTCCTATGGCAGAGGGGCCACTGGACAGGTTACTGCTATTTTCTCAATAGAAAAAAAAAATCTATTTCTAGAGAAAACAGGTGCAGCACGAGATAAGAACGTTGCCCAAGGTTGGAAAGGCAGGAAGGCAAGACGAATTCTTCCCAGGGCGAGGCGGCCACACAGCTCTGCTGCGCACCACCCCGGCTGCCTCCCTAGGATGACAATAACCACCACGGGCCGAGACCTGCGTACCACCAGCCAGACTCAGGAACTTCCCCCCACCACCTGGCTCAACACAACACTCAGATGCAACCAAACTAACTTCCCCCATTTCACCAGGGCATGTGTGCATGCATGCGTGTGTGGAGGGCACCTGAGGTGAGATCACCCAGGGGAGGCGCAAGCTCCAAACAAGACCTCACTCAACCTGGCCCGCGCCGCCTGCTGCTAGCTCGCGGCCTAGCCGACACATGGGGCCGGGGCCATGTGAGAGGGCTGCGCAATTCAGCGTCCTATGCACACTGATGTGCTGCGAACCATACCGGTTTACTCGTTTCCTTCCCTGAACCAGCAGGACCACCCTTTTCTCATCTCTAATAATCTCCCCACTCGGCTCCCCACTTATCCTCATGTCCTCTAGGGGCTCCTATAGACAGCAGCTCCTAACCCTGCAGACTAGCTCCCCCTGGAAGCCAGGAGAGGGGGTATCCCCACTTGCAGGCCCTGCTCTCAGTGAGAAGCCTGCAAGGCACTTACTTGTTGTGGGGCAGCCGTGAGCACAAGGTCCTCAGGTCATCTGAAATCAAAGACAGAGAGTCAGGTCAGGTGAGCAGAGAGAGCCTGATCGCTCAGAAACAAGAGTTCTCTCCTTCTCCCCCTTTTGCTTTTAACAACTTAATGGCAAACAAAATTCATTCCTTAGGAAAGCAGCAGCTTTGGGCAATTTGTCAGGAACAGCCTGGGTGGAGCTCTCACTGAGCAATCAAACACCATGCATGGCCTGCTAAGAGTGGCAGGGAGGAGCCCACCATCCATGACTACCACACGGGCTTCACTCTGCCCGGGGCCAACAGTTAACAAGTAGCACTGACAGGCGGGAGAATGAAATCAGGTGGTGACTATGTGTTCACCTCAAGGGGGTGGGGGAGGGAGTGGGGGTGGTTATAGTGAATACATTTGTCAAAACTCATCAAATTTTTCACTTAACCCGATGCATTTTACTGGATGTAAACTATGTCTCAACTGAAAAAAATTAAAAGGACTGCACAGGAGAAGAAAAAGATTCCCTAATAAGAAAAATATGAAGCTATGATGCAGGAATCCCTGCGCCCAGGCACACCCGGCTAGGAGACGTAGGCACCATGGTTGCACTTCTGTCTGGTGATGTGCTGAGCATCTACCTTCACCCCATGTTCATCAGCAGGAGGAGTCCTAAGTGCAGCAGAAAATAGTGCTGTCCAGGGCACCCTAGTTCTTTCTCTGATGGGTGATGTTCCCCCTGGAAGGCCCTGGGTCCCAGAATCACCCACCTCGTGTGCACAGCAGGGCTCCGGAGGCCATGGCCACCTGTAAAGCCTGTGCGAGCCGGTCCAGAGAGAGCTCAATTTCCTGGGAGGCATTGAGGGGGTTCAGTTCATCTGCCAGTCTATTGATCTCTTCAACCATTGGGACCATGTGGTCAAACAGGATCAGTCCCAGGCGCCCGTAGAGATTCTTCTCAGTCAAGTGCACCTGGAGCATCATGAGCACCTGCAGGACGCTGAGGTGGAGCTTCGAGTACAAGAGGTGGAAGTCTCTGTCCATCCCTCCCGAGTCCTTTGGAACTTTGGTAGTGACGTGGCCATTGGATAAGGAGGGCTTCTTCTTCCTTTTATAAGCCAGAGGGGCCTTCACACACCAGCGGATCAATCCAGTAAGTGGGGTGAGCTCTAAAAATCCTATCGGGAGGTTGGCTGCTATTGGAGTATTTAAAAAAGTGATAAGAATCAACCTAGGGTCCTCAAAAACCCAGTTGACAATCATTTCGAGCAAGTCCAAGGGTGGAATGAGATCATCTGCAAACAGAGATGCACGAGGTCAGAGGGCTTTCAGCCGCCACGAGGAAACGGAGGGAGGGGGAGTGGGCGAACCCTTGTTACAGGACTGACCACCTGGCTTTCTGACCACATACTTCCTTGGCTTATCTACTTTCTGTCTCCTTTCCTCAAAGATCGCCCCCCCCCCCACCCCCGCGAACACTGGCACTCTCCTCTTACTCTGGGTTAAATCCCTAGTACTAGAATTATCTGTCCAAGGTGGGCTCAATTATAAACATTATTTGTTCAAACAATTCCCTAGATTCCCATTACACTTTGAAGAAATTCATCCTACGGGTCAATTTAAATAAAAGGCCACAGTTTTTATGTCCAGAACTGTGTCACATATTGCTCTTCCCTGCCATCCCCCACAACCTGGAGCCTCTAAGTACAGCTTGACTGCCTGTGACCTGAGAGCTGGCTCATCCTATAGCACAGAGAGACAACAATGAAAAACGATTGACATTTACTTTGGGCTCATCATGCGCCAGCTACCTGTCTAAATCCTTTACAGATTAACTCATTTACTCCTCAAACCATCCCATCTCTAGATGAGAGATGAGGAAACTGAGACCAAGTGAAATAACCTTCCCAGGAGTCATCAACAAGTCTGACCCGATGGCCTGGCTCTTAACCACTGGCACAACCCCACTGGGATTAGAGTGCAATGCCCTTGGGCTGGCTGTATGCCTGGGAGCAGGACCTCCGGCTCCTGTCTAGGAATGTGCACCCCAGAGCCCAAGGAAAAGCTAGATAAGGGTTCCTGAGCCCCTTCTAGGCTGCTGAGGGCCAAAGTCAAACACGAAAAGGAGAGTGTGAGTGGGGGAAAGATACATGCCGGCAGTAGTCAGGCAATTGGGTATCACTAAGAAAAGTTCCCTGTTAGCAAATTCTGTAAGTCCCAGTGCTCTATACCTTTAGCTTTCAGCCTAAAGTAAAACACACATTTGAAACAAACAAACAAACAAACAAAAAGCCTAGCACAATCACCAGACATTTCACCTGGGGTTCAGTAGAAATAAAACTGGCAATCAGTTAAAAGTTTTTTGAACAGCAACAACCTGTATAAAGTTTACCTGAGGACAGGTCATAAAGCGCAGTGACAGAAGTTATGAACTGGCAGCAGAAGCGAGGACTGGCACTGATTATCTGCTTCAGCGTCTGAACGGATCCTGGCACCAAGCAGCAGTAGTCGTCCACGAGGGCCCTGGCTAACCTCACACAGTAGACCACGGGTGTCCGCTGCAAAGAAGGCACAGTCCGTGTAACCACAGGCATGGTGAGCTAGCAGGTTGGCAACAAAGCATACATGGCAAGGGCCATCGGAAGTGGCAGGACCACTTCTAGGAGGGGGAGAGGTGAGTAGCTTGCTTTGAAGCAGAGGTTGGTCAACTAAAGCCCAGAGACAAATCCATCCCATTACCTGTTTCTGTAAATAAACTTATTAAAACACAGCCTTCCTAGGTACTTGCCTATTGTCTGAGGCTGCTCTTCCACTACAAGGCGGAGCTGAGTTACTGTGGCAGAGCCTAAAATATTTACTGTCTTACCCTTTATATGTATACCTGCTGACCCTTACTTTTAAGTTCACTTAAGAAAGATGACACCTGACTTCAGGTGAGGAAATGAAAACTTCTGTAATCCTATAGCTGACACCTCACAGGTAAAAACTGTTGTGATAACTTTGAAGAGGTTTAGGAGGATCTGTGAACCATTTGTGAATTAAATGTTTACTGAGAGCACTCCTTTCTGAGTTTCCTTTTTAATTCTATCCTCTTACGGGCTTCCTGTACCATGACTGAGTACTGTTTTCCAGTCCGACACAACCACCCTCCTTTGCTTTTCTCTTCTCCACTCAGAAACCAGACTATAGTGTGGCCTTTCCATATAACAGCTGCTCAGGATGTTAACAGCTCCAGGGGCAGTGAGGCTGCAGGGGCAGGGACAGAGAAAGTAGACAGGACCATTCATTCAAGATGAAATCTGCCCCTACAATCTAACCCCGCCATCTGAACTCTCCCTCAGGAGGAAGCTTCAGACCCTCACCTCAGCAGAGCAAACTCTGACCCAAACCGCTACAATCCTTTCCTGTCACTGACATGTTTTCATTTTGCCAAAAAGCAAGCACAACAGCATCATGAGAGGTAAACAGAAAACTACATGATGAATTACAAGATGCCAAGCTTAACTTCAGTAGGCTGTCAAGGACTAGAGACAATTCTGAGGTTCAATACAACACATACAATAAACTGAGGCACCCTAGAAACCAGACTGGTGAGAATTAAGGTATAGATTTCACTGAAATTTACCTGTGCACTACAAAGAATATATATTTTGCTAGCCACATTTTCAAGATAAACAAGAAAAACAAACTGAAATATATCCAAATGATTTCACACACTTAGGAAAAGAGCAAGTTCTGAAATTGAATGTAAAAAATTTCATCAACTTAGCTGAGGATCAGCTAAAAATTTCAGTTGATAATTACAGTTATCAAAATTTCAAATCCTTTATTTACAAACAACAAAATGATGAATCATGCCAAAACACCATCCAACACTAAACCTACTGTAAATACACATTTTTTCTTGATACTTAATGCACATCCATTATAAGAGCCATCCACTTTGCCAACTTTGCAGAATCACCCTGAAATGATGCAAAACAACTCACAGGCTTACTAATCTAACTACAGAAAATCTATTTACAATTAGACATATAATGATCTTTAAAAAAAAAAATCCTACCTTTGGAGCTGTGTGCATATGTTTTCAAAATCCTACCATATCAGTTCCAACTAAGGAAAATGAGACTCCACTTGTTTTCTTAATTTACTTACCACTACAAACTAATGTTTTCTCTAGAATGGTTACTCTCTGTGTAAAGACAGTTCTAGAGTATGAGCACACTGGATAGTGACATCAGGGAGGTAACATGTGAAAAAGGCTTCTGCAAAATCCTGACATTAAAGTCCTCTTCAGACTTGAGACTCTTCCTAACAGGCCTTTACCACCACTGAGACTTGGCTGTCACTCGTCCAGTGACACTAATGCAGAGACCCCGAGGAGAAGGCAATTTCTAGAAAAGTACCTGGAGCCAGGAGGCTGCACACTCCAACACTGGGATGCGACACACAGCTACCGCCATGGAGACTAGTTTTCCCAGCAAGCTCATCCGGCTGTCATCAGCTTTGTTCCCTTGAGGGCTGAAAAGGGATGAGAAAATAATCTGCCGGACAGAGTCCTTGGTTTGCTCCTGGAAATAATTGCACATGATTTCAAGAAGCTGAAGCTCCTGCAGTGAATTCAATCTCTGTAAAACAAATCCAGGCGAAGCGGTAAGAAATTTGGCTTTTACATGCTTATTAACTCACACAGTAAGAAAGCAGAAAATACACTATTCTCCCCAGAGAACTTTTCAACACTCCGCAGCCCTCTCCGGGAGGGCAGAACTCGACTGTTATCGCAGGAAATGTCAGTCCTGGGGGACTCGGGATCACCTGCGGTGCCTTGAGACGCTCACTAACAGGCCCTTGACACCACTAGGAGGTGGCTGTCACACGTCCCGCGACACAGGTGCCCGCCTCGGCAATGCCCAGCAGCCGGAGCTGGTGGGTTTGGCTGCTGCAGAAAGAGCGAGGCCCGGGGCGAGAAGGCAGCCCCAGGGGAAGGACGCTGTGGCCAGGCAAACCCTCGTCACCGAGGGGTGAAAGGAACCGACTACTTCTCCGGGGCGCGGGGCCGTCCGCTCGCCGCACCTTGGGCTGCGCGCCGCGCTCCTTGGGCACCTGGAACACGAACTCCTCGAGCAGCTCCACGGGGCCCTTGTCCACGATGGGCAGCGGCGCGCTCTGCAGCTGGCTGCTGAAGTAGATGTCCAGGTGGTACAGCACCTCCTTGGCGGCGCTCAGCGCATCGCGGCGCAGCAGCGAGTGGCGGATGTCGCTCATGGTGCCGCGGCGGCGGCCGCAGCGAGCGCGGAGAGCGCGTCGGGACTTCCG